GGCGAAACCTTGTAAAACGATAAGAGTAAAAACCAACGATAGCAGGATTAAGGGTCATTTAGATGGGTGGGGGGTTTTCATCACCCCTCAAGTCTCGCCCCGTTCGTCCACGGTCGTTCCCGTGAGTCCTAGCTTCGCCTCCCTTTAGAGCAGAGGCGCTAATTTTGCTATGTTTGCTGCGTCATGTGGGCCTTCGCGCCGGGAAAGCAAGAGTTACCTGAGGTCCAGCGGTCAGACGCGCCTGCTTGTGAGCGTCTGCTGCTTTCTGCGGCGGAATTCCAGGCGATTTCGCAGAGAGCACGACCAGTTGTACAATCATTCAGAAGCAGGTATCCAGCCCGAGTTACTCATCATGCATCGGCTTACAGCCTCGTAGAAGCAGAGTGGGGCCTAGTCATCATGCTGGTGCTGGTGGCTTGCACCCCACCACTTCTTGTTGCCTGCGTTTTCCTAGTGTTCACATTGACCAGCGCCCTACGCGACACTGCAGTGCTTGTAGACAGCGCTGCGAAAGAAGAATGTCTTCACGTAGCCGTGCCGATGCTAGGTGGCAGTCGTGGCAGCTAAGCATTTCTGTTTCGAGTTTGGTCACGCATTTAAGTTTACAGGATTATATGTGACATGTCGGAGAGCAGTATTTAGCAGTTAGCACACACTATTTGACCTTGCCGGGGCTTTCACACACAGTCGGGCGTCGCCAGTGCCCAGCAATGCACCCGCATGCCGAGGAGCAACTCGCAGGAATTCGATTTCTACTCCCTGATTTTTGATGGCCCGCACTTCACCTTCCTTCACGCCCAAGAGTTTTTCATCTCTCCTGCGGCCTCGTGCGATAAGTTTCTGGAGCATGTGGAGCCTATCCAGGTGCCTATAGATACAGCTGCCAAGAGGGCACAGCTGCAGCAGCGGTTTGTTGTCAAACACATCAAGGAGTCTCTCATTGCGGCCTCAAAGCATGACATCTCCAAAGCCCGGGACGTCGGAGAGATGTTGTTTTCCGGGGTTGGCCCTCAGGAGACTGTTCCCGCGGTTGAGTTGCACATGTTTCCCCATACCGTTATGGATGTGAATTCGACTTGGCAGGTTCTTCTAATTCCTCGGGCCAGAGAGCTGTTTGGCAAGACTGTCTTCCTCTGCAGGAGTTCGGCGGTACGAACCCAGCCAGGGTCTGAGCCCCCACAATGTGTGGCAAAGCTGCCATTCGAGCCTTTGCCGACGCGCTTGATTCACGCCGTCGGCAAATGGAGCCCAACCGCAGATTCACTGCGCTCTACACCGCACAGGCTGGTCCTAACCATGGAGATTCTTTTGCTGCTGGTGATGGTGTTGGTAGGCTTGCGGCTCCTTGACTCTATGTGGCAGATGCTGAAGACTGGGTGGGCACAGTTCAACTCCCCAAAGGGCAGCCTGGTCAAGGAAGAGTTGCTCAAGAATCAACTGCCAAAGATGTTTACCCTGACCCAGCATGCTTATTTGTACAAGAAGCCCGGCGGATATGAATTGTTGCGAGCGGAGCCCCTAGATGCATGTCGCGATGCAAAGGTATTTGAGATGGCAGAGGCCGGCAGGGAGAGGCGTGATATTCTTGCGGAAATTGATCACTTCTTTTTGCACAGAGCAGAAACAGCCGTTTGGGGGCGCCTTGAAGACCCTGATTGCTGGATCGTCCTTCTCAACGGTGCGGATGACGTGCGGGTGATCAACGCGGGTGAAGCTCCTTCGATCCCGTTCTGTGCAAATTCTTCTCTGCTTGTGCCTTTTTCGGTTTTGTTGCGTCGGCAGCTGGTCCTCGCAGCGGCCCACGCATCAGTGCAGTGGTTTCTTTTAGATCGATTGGCGCAGATATTCCAAACAGCCGAGATCATGGTGATTGCTATGTGCTTGTTTACTCTTCATGCGCTGGTGCTATACCAGATGGAGCTCACCGACATTCAAGGCTTGCGTTATGAGCAAGTGCTGGAGTCAGAGAGCAAACTCTTGCGCCTCAAGAAGGGCAACGAAACAGGCATCCTGCTTGGCGTTGCCATGGTCGTGCTTTTCCTCACTGTCACTGCTGGTATTCTGAAGCAAGGTACTTTTCTGGCAGCAGCGCTTCCATGTGCCTCTCTGCTCACGGCGGTGATCCTGCATGTGATGGACTTTCGTGCCGCTGTGACTGGTCTTGAGCAATGGAGGTCGCCCCAACTGCAGGCCACAGAGTTCACAGCTATCACCAGCAAAGGCTTCGAAAGCATAAATGATGATGAAGCTCAGCCATGCACGCTGTCGAGACTCCGAGAATTCAGGATCCAGCTGGTGCGCTTCTTGACTTGTGCATTGACAGCTGGCGCCGTAATCATTCTCATGCTGATCGTGTTAGATGGCGTGCAGATGCGAGGAGAATTGCTTACTTACAGCTTCAACCGCGGCTACATAACAACTCCTCCACATAGCCAAGCGCTACAAAACACATTGCTGTTGCACACCAGCATTGATTCGCTCCCCTTCGCCTTTGAGCCTGGCCCCTTCACTTCCCGGATCCAACTGTATTTTGAGCATCCGCTGCTTGAACTCCAAACACAGCCAGTCACGATCTTCCGTCGTGAAGGCTCCAACCAGATGGAGCAAGGAGGCTTTGAGTATTCCCTCTCGTTGCCAGCTGGTTCTCTTTACAGCCGCCTCATCGTCGAGGCAACTAGCCCGCTACACCAAGTGCCGACCCGGTACATGGTCCATTTACTGCGCGTGACAGAGTCCGTGACAATTTCATTAGCAGCAGGCATCAACCCTGGCTACTTTCCGAACAGCCACCCAGGTGCCAGCCTCGACCCTCCAATTTTCCACGAGACGCGTCGATGGCCTTACCAATGGATGCATCCGGCCTGGTATGTGCCTGACCTGGACTTGCGCGCCAACAGTACACTTCGTGTGGAATACGTCCCTGTCATTCTGGCACCCATGATTTGGTTTGAGCCAGGCAGTAAAGACAAAGACAAGTTCGACACCTTGACCAAGTTGGCAAACAGCTGCGACTGTGGCCTTGAAGTGCCAGGTTATGGTAATACCTGCTCATTGGAGGATAGCATCAGGCTGCCGGCGGCTCCCCAGATCTGCTTGTATCAAAAACGTCTGGTCCAAAGTGTCGTCGTGGAGACTAGGCTCGGTATCTCCAGCAACAGCTCCAAGCTTGTTCAGTGGCTGTTAGATGTGAACGTCAGTGGCAAGTCTGCAGATCTACATCTTGCGGAAATGAGTGGGTCTTCTGGCAGTATTTGGTCTTTGGAAACGCCCTCAGCGGAGTTCTCACGAAAGAGCCCTGCTTTCATCTCCAGCATCTTTTCTACGTTCATTCCAACAGAGGTACTTCTTACCCGAGCCACCCAGCTCACGGTGGCTTCTACGCAGGATATGACCGACGCGGAAGCACTTTCTGTGCCGCTGAAGTTCATCTCCCATCCCCCTCCCATCCATTTGAGCATTGAGACCTCCCATGGGTTCTTCTTGCCTGAGCCTATTGCATCAGAGGAGCGAGGTGACTTTGCTGCATGTTGCCTCGGAGACCTATCACCTGTCAAGGCGAACACCTGGGACTCGCGATTTGTCATAGAGGCGACCGAAGTCAGCCAGGGTCTTGATTGCAGCTCTGCCACATCCAAGACAAAGCAGTTCAAAGCGGTAAGGCGCCAAGACCCATCCTGCGAGCCATACTGTGCTTTGTACCGCCCGTGGCTTGACTCTTTCGACGTGTCCGTGACATTGTCGACACCGCGATGTTTCGATCAAGCGATTGACTTGGACAACCTGAACGCGTTCCGAAACATCTCGGATACCTTGCCATCCAAGTCCAGAAAGTTGTTGTTCCAATCATGTGGCACATTGCAGAAGGCTGTGCAATTAAACAGGACGGCTTTTGTCGCAGAGATGCTGACTTCCTTTGGTGCCGACCCCAATGGGGGGCCGAAAGCCCAAAAGACGCCTTTGCAGGTTGCCGCTGCGAATGGAAATCTCGACAGCCTGAAGCTTTTGCTTGACAACAATGCCATCGTGGACCTCAATGGGCCCAACAATGGCAGCGCTTTGTTCTCTGCAGTGCTGAACTGCCAGAGCAATGCTGTTCGGTACCTCCTGGACAAGAACAGCATGCCAGACCAGGTCGCGCTTCCCCGTGGCGGAGCAAAGTCGGGAGCTCAGCAGACATGCTTGTGGGGAACCGGGCGGCGTGCAGAGCTCCAATGAGGTGTAGGATGTCCGTCGTGTCGCTTAGGTGCAAAATCTCGCCAATGCTGGCGCTCTTTGATCGCGACCGGTCACAGCGCTGCGAAGGCAGCAGCTTGAACACCGTGATCAGTGCGTTAGTGCAGGGCAATGCCAGCTTTGCCGTTCCAGAACCTTGCTTGATGACCAGAAGCATTGTGCCAACGTCTAACTCAAATTCTACATCAGACAGCCAGCTTGTGTGCTTTGATGTTGTGCATGCCCAAGATTTCACGTTTTGTCACAGACTGAGGCTCATGACGATTGTGAGAACCAAACAGCAATCATGACCGCACTGGAGAGCAAGCAGGACATCTCCGTTGTGGAGCATCTACTGAGCTTGAAGGCGGACCCAAACCAAGCTGGACGTGACGGCTCGGGCGAACTTTTCAAGCCATTTGAATATGCTTTCATGCAAACATCGTATCTGGGAGCACCTCTTGCTGAGTTCTCCAAGATCGCCAAGCTTCTACACAGCTACAAAGCCAGCGTGGATGCGACCCTGGATCAGGCATATACCCCTCTCATGATGGCGGCAGAGTACTGTGAATCAGACCTTGTAAAGGTGCTGCTTGGGCTCAATGCCGACCCAGACAAGCGGAACGATGATCAGAAGACGGCCGCAGATTTGGCCTGCAGCAACTCTGAGGAGAATGCCACTGTTGCTGAGAATCTGAAGACCCTGCTGCGCTCTCAAGGCAAACGCGCTTAGATGGACCATCTGAGATCAAGCACAGACAGGCTGGCAGAAAAGGAAACCCTGGGGCAAGCAGCATGCAGAGCCAGCCTGATGGCAGGTCGCCTCGGTCGTGATGCCACACCCAGTGCTTTGCCAGAATTCTCACTCGGAGTAGCCAGATCTGGATGCCTTGTCACTGCACCTGTTGCAGGCCTCTTCCTTTCCACTGCGGGGCGGGAGGCCTGTTTTCGGACGAGCGAGACTTGTTTTTGTAGGCTGCAACACTTCGTTTGCTTCAACGAAATCTGGGGCAATTCGTGACACTAGATTTTCTTGATCATGATCATCTACTGTAACTAATTATCTGAGCTTGCACTTGACTTTGCACTTCTTCGTTGAGACTCGTTTGCATGCAGCTGGCCTTCATATTATTCCGCTGCTCAGTTTCAGTCGCCTCGTCTCGTGACTGTGGCAGCCCGGTTTCCCAGCATCTCCCCATCGTGCTTAGCTGTTGGCCTCAAGCAACAGCAAGGAGGCCTTCATGTTGTTTGCATACCTTTTGCTCGTTGAAGCGGTTGTGGCTGCGCGCCCAGCCCATCGAGACCTGCAGGATGGATGGACATTGCTTCTGGAGGCTGGGCGGCGGAGGAAGAAGACTTCTCCCAACGTGCTCAAACAGACTGTGAAGAAGCAGCAGAAGAGGCAAGAGATCAATCAGCGTCTGCAAAAAGAATTTCCAGTCTCTGTCTCAGCCCTTCGCTTCTGCTCTGAAGTCATATCTTTCTCCTGGCAGAATATGCATAAGAAGAAAAAAGGAAACTCGTTGGCATTTCAAGCCGATCACGTTGTCCAGAAAGAGCTGGACAATGCCCTGGAGACCTGCCAGAAGGTCTTGGCTGGGTCACTGCCCGATGAAAGAAAGGCCTGGGCAGTGAAAGCAGTGGGGTCTTCGGGTGATGGCTCACATGAATTCGGCCGACTTCAGTCAGTCGTGGACAAGGAGAGGAGCCCTGCATGGAAGACCGTATTGAAGGAAGTTTGCAGGGACGAGTGCGTGGAGCTTGTGCAAGGCATCAAGGACAGCACAATTGAGATTTACGAAGGCATTGAGAGGCAAACCGCAGCAGAGTCCTGCGCCGACAATGTAGTGAGAAGAGTCGAGGCCCATATCTTGGGATGTTGTGCTGATACATGTGGCTGGAATGGGGTGGCTTGTGCATTATGGCCTTTCTTCACTACGGCTGAAAAATCGGCTTGGGAGTCGGAATGCTGCACAGAGTGGAATGTGCTGCAGGGATCCGATAGAGAGAGGATGTGTGATGCCACCCTGACAGAAAAGCAGAAAAACCTGGCAGAAATTCATGACCTGCCAAAAGATGACACGGGGGCTGTTTTGATAGGACAAGACGAGAGGTTGATGTGGACAGACACCGGATCTTCCAAGTTCAGTGGCGACCACGTGCAGGGGGAGAAGTTTGTGTCACAGGAGTTTCTGCTGAAGCCCCGCAGCCCGCAAATCTCCATCCAGCAAGGTTTGCGAGATGGCTGGTGGATCCGAGAAGCCCCGACTCGAAACTCACTGCTAGAGATAGATAAAACAAAAGGACACGTCTTTGCGACAGGAAACTGCCAGCACCCCTTCGACACGGTAAAGTGGAACGCTCAGCGGAAGGCGGAAGGATGGTCGAAGATCACGCTCAGACAGTATGGCACGTACATGAATACATGTGGTAGGCCTGCGTCTGGCACAGACAAGGATGATGTTAGTTGCTGCAATGCCTTTGTGCAGAGCAGCGTAGATGCCAAAGCCAAGTGCTTCGAACTCCAGGAGGGTTGCAAGATTTTCCAGGCAGCGCCAGAGAAGCTCAAGACGGTCGAAGAAAATGAAGACCCCCTTACGGGGATGGTCTTCCTGCGCAAGTCCCAGCGCCCAGAAAGCTGTGCTTAAGCATTGAAGCCTGCAGACAGATTTCCGGCTCTGACAAGAATGCTGGTCGCTGAAAACAGATGGAGCCGTGCTAGCTTTGTAGAATTGGCATGTGAGGGTGTCGGTCACCAGCGAAACTTGAGGCAGTACAGTTTGCTCGTTCCGACGGCACTGCCAGGCTCCTTCAGCGTGGGATGGGGTGGAGCCACCTTCCTGATGCAGCGCACCAGGTGCCCTCCCTTCAAGCTGTTAAGTGTAAAGGCCAGACCAGGGCTCTGCAGAACAGCAACTGGCAGGATCCTTCAATCTGGATTTTTTGTGAGGAAGGCAACGCATACATATGAGCACAACCTCAGGCCTCCAACCCACATCAAATAAATCAGTCCCAAAGCTTGGGATTCAGAAATTACTATATCCTGGGTCTCATAGGTGTCGATCCGTCAGCATTTTGATACATGTTGATGGCTCGCTTGTTCGCTCTCCCTCTCCCTTCCTCCCTCCATTGTTACCTCACTCCCCTTCTCCCCGACTCTCACTCTCTCTCTCTCTCTCTCTCTTTGGCTCTCCGGCTCCAAGCCCAGGAGTGCTTGGAACCCTTAGCGATTGAGCTCGACTGAAAGTTCGCTCTGCCAAGCCTTGTTGCAGCTGCTCTGCGCATCTGAAGCTTCACTTTCGCAGGCATTCCGATCCCGTCTCAGCCGGGAGTTCCTGCCGTGGCGGTGCCCAGTATCGGTTGTTGAGAAGTTCTTAGAACTTATACAGAGCCATTTAAAGTCCACGTGTTCAGGGCGTCGAGGCCTCGAGGTTGTGAAGAAGCCCTTTGCCAAACTGCGCGGAAGTGTTCCACCATACCAGGGGTTGCCGTCCTGAGGTTGAGCTGTGAGGGTTTGGGGCTTTGGGGATCCGACTCACCCCAAATGGTGGCTTATATACAGCGACCTTCTGAAATGGATTTTGTCTCCCATCATGACACAAAAAAGCCGGATGGCTTCTCGGGACTGCTCGGTGGCAGGACGAGCATGGCAAATTCTGTTCGAGCGTCCAACAACCGATGCTTTCTGCGGCAGGCTCTTTGCGAGAGAGACGCTCCGCCATGTTGGGGCAAATCAGTAGCTCTTACACAAAAGAGTAAGAGAGGTGATCAGCATCAACATGTGCATGGGCCTCTCAGCCTTGCAGCAAGCAAGCAAGCAAGCAAGTCTTCACTGACGACTGTTGCACTGGTGACATCTAGCAGCCCCGCCCGAAACATCGTCAAACTCAAAGTCACCTTTGACAGCACTTTCAACCCAAGCAGTCATCACTTGCCTGAAGTTACAAGAGGCAGCAGCCAGTTGTCGACTGTTCGACTTTTGGCTGAGATTTGCTGTATGTCAAATGTACACGTTCCCCGCTTGGTTGTGGAAGCCGTGGTTGACGATGCAGATTCGTTGAGTGCAGTCACACGAATTTTGCATTTCTCGGACATGTCCATGCAGTGACTCGGGGGCCTGTGATTTTTGATGATGTGCACACGAAGGGTGCCATTCTTTTTTCCACAACGCTATAGAGCTACCTTTCTCAGAGGTATCCTGCACAGGCAACATGTGAGTATGCGGAATATGGGCAAACGATAAAGATGCCACCATGGAGGTCTCAACACTGCGCCAGTGGCTTCGGCAACATGAGGCGTGATCATATCTTGCAAGCCGTGAAGCACACCTCTCGCCGCAATGTTCTGTAAATCTTCTGGATAATGGGTTGGTTCTTGGAATGTGAGATGCTGCATAGTCCAGGATCCCCCAATCAAACTTGGGCAAATTTTGTTTGGGTGGCCTCGGGCCTTGCCAATTAACTTTCCATTGCCGGGATTGATTCTCAATTGTTCCGGACGTGCCTGGGCAAAAGTTCGCTCTATTCTGAACCCATTCATACTCATTACCCAACAAAAAACCCTAGGCCCATGAAGGCATAAGATCGAGCAACCCTAGTCTATCTTGTGTGCCGGCTGGGCTCAAGCATCCTGCCCTCACCGTGTGCCGAACTTCCAAGCTTGCCGCAGCCCTGGCAGGTTGAGAGGATTTCAAGTGTCTGAGATGTTAAGATTCAGTGTTATCATAACAGTAGTAAGAATAATAACAACAATAGCAATGACAATTCAGTTTTCCAGTGGTAGCAGCAGCACCAGAGCCTGATGTGCAACTAGCAAGTGTGGTGGCGTACTGAAGAATGATGATGGTGATGATGATCATCATGATGATCTGTCATGTGATGGTAATGTTGTGGTGATCTGATGGTGATGATAGTGACTGACAACCATGTTACAGTGATGTGGACAAGAAAGGTCTCCAATGATCGCCAACGCACTTGCGGGCTTGCAGGCGCTTGACAGGGGTTTAGAGCCTATAGGTAGGAATTGGGAGAGTTTAGTGAGTTGGGGCTCAGAAGGGCAGTTTTTGTTCTGGGCTGGACTTCAAAGGCATGAGCCCTGCCTGAATACGTGCCCTTTCACGTTTCAGATTTCAGAGGGCTCATAGGAGGCTGCTCACATCATTCTGTCAGTGGCCGCGGACAGTTTTGGGGGGATCTTCCCTCCACCTCAGGCCGGCTGTTTCCAATTTAGGCGCAGCAGACTTAAATTTGCGTGGAGTTTGATACCCTGCACGAGGGCATGCCAGATTCACTTTTTTTGCAAGTGCCGGGCTTACTTTTTCGTAGGCTGTCATGCAGAGTGCCTTCGGTATCCTTCAGCGAACAGAACTCGGGTCTGTTCAGGCTTGTTTGTGATGTTTCATGTGTTCTCCAGGATGTCTAGGCATGAGGATTCCAGCAAAGATGTGCTTATGGCTAACTTGGGAACCTCAAAGTCCTGAGGCATGTTGGGGCTCCGTCGTTGGACGCATTGTTCCCTACTGTTGCCGTGTTGCAGTTGGCGAAGCCTATTACAAAGTTGCTTTTCAGAAGCCTCAGGCATGCTCACACCAAGAATCCTGCGAGCCCCTAATCGTTCACTATTTGGACAGCCTCTTGACTCTTCTGCGCCAAGCCTGGGCAAAGTGTGTTGTGCGTAGAGAATCGAGAGCCGTGGGTTCCCTACGAGGAAGTTGAAACGGCACAACAAGCAGGA